CACCACCGCCAGGCCCACCGCCAACAGGTCCACCGCCGCCAGGCCCACCACCGCCAGGCCCACCGCCAACAGGTCCACCACCGCCAGGTCCACCGCCGCCAGGCCCACCACCACCACCGGCGGCTCCACCACCACCACCACCACTTGCCCAGGCACCGGCACCGGCACCACCAGTATAAGGAATTGGAATGGCAGGGTAACCGCCAAAAGTGGTGGGATGCTTCATTGGTTCATCGCCTACAATATGTTTGTGTCACAGAGTCAAAGAAAAGAAGGGAAAATTAAACGACTCCTAATAGTTCAACAAGAAAATAATTTAACAAGGCACACACAACGTATAATATTAGTGTCTGGGTACACTTTGATCACATGATAAAATATAAAAAATTCTACTTTTATGATCATTAATGCATGGTGCTAATTCTGTAAATGTTATATATATGTATCATTACCTATATTTTCATTTTGAGCTACTTCATCTGCGAGAACTGAACGGAATAGAACAAGAGCAATGAAAATAAAAGCTTTAGACTCCATTTTTCACAACAAAATTCAGCAAATGCAATATGAGTAGAAATGAGAGGTTGAGGGTCCTTTACATATAGGGCCGAGTCACTGATTTTACGAGAATTAAAGAGGTTGGTAACCTCTTTCAGAGCAATAATGGTGGATTCTTGGCTTCTTCTGCTGGTAGGAACCTAGGGATTGTGGATGCTGGTGAATTTTATTTTGATCAACATTTCTGTTTCACAGCAATAATGGCGGATTGTTGGCTTCTTCTGTTGGTAGGAACCTAGGGATTGTGCATGCTGGTGATTTTTTTTATTTTTTTTATCAACTTTTCTTTTATGTTTTAGGTCAGGGGCTGGTGAAGGTAACATAATGTTGATTGTTTCTTAGTGGGAAAAATAAAGAAGTTTTGATTCAAATCCATTAATGTGTAGGTAGAGAGGGAGCCTCTGCCCTTCACTAACCAATAAACTAGTGTGTATCCCGTGCTATGCACGGGCAGATATATTCCTTAAAACTTTTTTTTAACTTTATTTTAAATATAATTATTTATAGGGTTAATTGCCAAAAAAATCACAACATTTTGCTTAATTGCAAATAAAACTCAACCTTTTAAATTTTGCGAAAAAAATACAAACTTTTATCAAGTATTGCATAATTGTCTCAAAATTAAATTCCGGTGAAGGGGCGCTGACATGGCAGTCTCAAAATTGGTTTCCTAATATGTATTTTTTATAATTAATTACCATGCAAATAAAACAACTAATTAATTGACATAATTAATTAATTATTATAAAAAATAAGCAACTAATTAATTATCATGCATATTAGACAGGACATCCCATAAATATATATATCAGTCAAATGCGGGATTTTTCAATTTTTTTTTTGAAAAATATTTCCAAAGAAAATTAAGAAGGCTCCACATAACATCAGAGATGTAAATGACTTTGAATAAAAATATGAAATATACAAACTTAAAAAGTTTAATATTTTTTAGTTATTATTATTAACTTATATATAGATATATTTTTTTAAAGCATGATATGTAATCATAAAGGTTTTAGTTAAAAAGTATCTATTTTATTGTCAAATCTATTGAGCACAAAATAAAAATGTGAAGGGTTCACATATTATTTTATTGTACTTACTTATACATAGATTAAAAAAGTTTTAGGAATGTTTGAAAACTTTACTACCTGATGAATTGTTTGATTTCAAAACAATATAGATATTTTAATCATATAGTTTATTTTCTACGTTTATGGTTTGTAATTATTCTATAATTTTAAATTATTTCTAATTGACCATAATGTTCGGGTATTCTCAAAAATTTTGAGATTATTTTTATTAAGGAGTACTTTGAATTTTTATTTTTTAGTTTAGTAAAGTGATTCCAAATTTTTGGAAAGATTGATAAATATTTTAATTTGTATATAATAAATGTTAAAATGGAAATAGGAAAAATATTTNAGACGTATATTGTAAAAGGAAAAAAAGAATATAGGAAAGAAAAAAAAATTGTCATGCTTCATAGGAATAATTTAGAATATGATACTCTGCAATTTATTTGACTTTTAATATTGTTAATCGTTCTAAATATTTAATTAAGGATATTCAAATCAAACCAAAACAATATCCACAAAAAAAGAATCAAAATTTAAAAAAACAACAGGGATATAATTGAGATAAATATGGACATCAAGCTAAGATGGAATGCATATCTATTAAAAAAAGATAAATTATGTTACTTTAAAAAATTCTAAATATTTCAAAAAAAATTATGGGTGGGAGAGACCAAGAATTTTCAAAAAAACAATTTTATTAGTAGTAAAAACCGAAAATTTGTCGGGAATCTTCATGTTTTTTTAGGTTTTTTCTTATTGCTAATATATAGTAATAGATTTTAAAATTAATTCTTTTTGTTGTAATTTTTTATTGGCAAAATAGTTAACAAATTGCAACTTTTACTTTAATTGTAATTGAGTACTACATTTATTTTTTCTGGCAATGTAAGACAAAATTAACTAATTTTTACATTTGAAACATCAATAGTCTCGAAGTCTAAGTCTAAGTATCTCCCTCCCTCACGTCTCTACCTCTTATATCTCCTTCAATGGGCAAGAATTAACTGTTGCTCGACCTTTTTTTCCTTTTTTTTATTCTGTCTAACGGGCCAGCTCACAGCTAATAAGTGTTGGGCCAATTTTCTTTCAGCCCACTTTTGCTCATGGCACTAATAAGTTGGGCCAATTTTCTTTCAGCCTGCTTTTGTTGATGGGTCATATTGTGCATTGGGCCAGTATGGGGCACTCATGTTCAGGCTTCTTCATTCTCGTGCATCCACACATCATTGCACACTAGAATTATTCCCAAAAATATTGAAAAACACTGAATTTCTCATCAAAGCACGAGAATCGCTCATAGTATCAAAATAATCGAAAAATGCATAAGTGCGATGAGTTAAACATGCAAAATTACAGTATTAGACAACGAATTTTGACAATCATTAGATAGTAGGGTTTGATAGTATTGTTTTCCACATTATTCAGCATGAGATTGAAAATGGAAATGAAAACTCTAGTCTTCTTCAACCTCTTTTCATTTCTATGCACCATGCTTTCTCATAAAGAGCAATTATTGAGGCCAAAGAACACCTTTAGACTGTGCAACAAAGGAAATGGGCACAAATTAGAAGCTTCATAACTTCATTACATCTCCACATACATTCCAAGTAGGTCTTTGTCAGATTAAGACCTCCTAGCTAGGTGCCTTTTTTATTTGTACTTGATTTTTTTTATTTCCATTACTACACGCATTTATACAGCATTTCCTAAAACTTTAAATTTTAGTTCTTCGTCTCTGTTTCAGGCCCTCCGCCTTTGCCGCCACCTTGACCACCACCACCTCCTTTGCCTCCGCCATGTCCGCCGCCGCCACCTCCTCCTTTGCCTCCGCCATGCCCACCGCCACCACCTCCTCCTTTGCCTCCGCCATGTCCACCGCCGCTGCCGCCTTTGCCTCCTCCGTGGCCGCCACCGCCATGTCCACCACCTCCATCTTCCGGCTCGATTTCATTCTCTGCATTTTCACAAGAGACGAAAAGCAATAAATCAGCTCGAAAAAAGTGAACGCTCACAATTATTTTATACATATATATATATATATATATATATCGTACCGGACCAGCGGCAGCAGTAACGGTAGCAGCGGCCATATGGGCCCCATCCACCGCAGCAGTACCTATACGGGCAGTAGCCGCCGCCGCCGCCTTGGTTGGGCTGATTTGGTTCTTCGGTGGCCTCCACGTCGTTTTCTGTTTCAAACAACAAATTTATTAATTATTCTGTTAATTTATTGTGTAGCTTTTCCATAAGTATATTAGTTCCTAATTAATTGAATTTCATTATATTATTTTTTAAAAAATAAAAATAAAATAAAATAAAATATATATATCTTACCGGAATAGCGGCAACAATAGCGGCTGCACCTACCGCCGTACCACCCGCCGCAGCAGTACCTATTCCGGCAGTAACCGCCTCCGCCACCTTGGTTGATCTCCTTCGGCTCCTCACCTTTACCCAAAAAAAAAAGAAGAAAGAAAAATAGTTATAATTAATCAAAACACTTCAAAATTAGAAATTTCAACTATGGAACCCATTGATTTTATCTGCTTATTATTAGTGGTTTAATAGTTACGATTTATCTAAATGCCAGGTTTAAATAGGTAATTATTGCATCTCTTTTTATTTTTGGGTACAAAATTATTGAACCTTTTATTTTATGTTGATCGGCCACAAGTTCATCTGCCAACACAGATGAAACCACAAAGAGAGCTAGGGCTAAGAGAATAAGAGATTTGGACATCATTATTATTATTATTTTTTTTTTTTTTTGTCACATATAAAATGTTAATTTGAGAAGACAACGAAGAGTGTCCCTCATATGAGGCACTATTTATAATTATATAGGCATAACCTAAAGTAAATTAAATGGGATAAAAGGTAGTTGGATGTTGGAGTCGATATACATTGAGCACCTCTTGCCGATAAATATGTTGGAATCCTTTCTTGAATTTTTATGTGCAAGTCAACATACTTATCAACTTCATATACACAACGGTCAATGGTCGTGCTTCTAAAATAAAATATCATAGGTTTAAATGAAAATTATTTAAAATAGGGTGACTTTTATATAAAATTTAAGAACTACAAACCCAAGATGTACCTTCAACTATTTCATAAGATTTTAAAAATCTCGTTAGGAACCAAACTGGCTATTGGCAATTGGTATTGTTAATTAGTCTAGTAAAACATGTTCTTGAAATGTACAATAAACATTGTTTATTGTTCGTTATAATTCAAAATGGACTAATTAAAACTTAGTTATCTTTTTTTTCAGGTTTTATATTTTATATCGATGAATTTTATTAAATCTTCAGTTCTAAATAATATAAAAGTATATATATGTGATGTATATATGTTTCATTTATATACATATATCAGCAAAAAGAAACCAGGAATATGAACCATTTATGAAGAAAAACATAAATAATGAACCGAGGCGTGGAAGTCCGTGGTATTTTATTTACTGTTTATAGAATAACTGACCAAACCAGCTATTTATAGTCCCGTCGCGCGCGATTTTTGGTTTTCAGTTATGTAGAAATGTGACTTCGTTTGAAAATAATATCTTTTAAAGAATTTTAACAAATTAATTAGGAGTTATTACAATTAATTTTGATATAAGTGTATTAATTCAATTAAGTTTTCGTATGTGAAAATCAAGTTTATATGAGTGGATATATATGAGAAGAATAAGTATTTGGAAATTGAGTTCTTAAGGGTGGATATGCATGAGAAATATAAATGGATTTTTATAATTAGTATTCGACTCGCAGAGATGCAGGTAAAATGTTATAAATCATAGGTATAGATATAATGAGTATATTACGTTTTATAATAATTATGGTCTTTAGTAGAAATGAGCATTATAATTATAAATTATTTTACTTATATATAGTCAGAAAATGTAATGAACAAAATTTTTGTTTTTCATAAATTTAAGGGGTTATAATTAATTAATTAGTTGAAAAATGTTATAGCAATTATTTACGTAATTTTAAGGAATTGGTTATGTCATTAAAATCAATAAGGTACTTAGAAAAAATGGCCTAATGTGATAAAATAAGGAGATAATATTAATTTTAAAATATATAGCATGAAGATAATGTTTTGCTATAATTTTTTTATTACTGTGTAATTTTCAAAAACCTTTTAATGTAAATTTATATTAGTAATAATTATTATATTATAAAATAGTTAAAAAAAATATTATTACAATTAGTTAATGTAAAATAAAAAAGTTATTTTTGATAATTAAATGAAAATAAAATAAAATTAATTAAGAATGACAATAAGTGAATAGCGAGTTATTATATATAATTAAATTAAAAAAATATATACACTACAAAAAAATTGTTATATTCCACCGGAAAATCCTACGGTAATATATTCCAATGGAAATTCCAACGGATATTCCAATGGTATAGCTTCCGTTTGAATCATTCCAATGGAAATTCCAATGAAAATATTCCGTTGGAATGTGTTTTTCATTGGAATTTTAGATGGAATTTTGATAATTCCAACGGCTATATTTCCAACGAATTTTTACCGTAAGAATTTTTGTTGGAATATGCAATTTCCGTTGGAATTTTTATTTCCACCCCCGTTGAAAAATCTATCGTTGGAATCGTCAAAATCCAACGGAAATTCTAATGGAAAACTCATTCCAACAGAATATTTTTGTTTGAATTTCCGTTTGAATAATTCCAACAGAAATAATAGCATTAAAATATCTGTTGGAATTCTCGTTGAAATTTTATTGAAATATATATTTGCGTTGGAATTTCACCATTTCCTTGTAGTGATATGTATATAATAAATGTGAAGAAATATAGTTTTTATATTATCTTCAAGTTCATCAGTCTGGATTGAGTCAACCTGCTTCGTGACACTCAATTCGCAATACACGGTAGTTAGACACGTGTCTTTCTCTCTTTAAATAGTGGCACTTTACTCGGTTTTGTGCGACAGACATGCATGTTANGATAATATTTAAGATTTTGTTTACTTTAGTAATTCGAATTTGAAAACTATTTTCAACAATTAAAAGTAAAGCTTTAATACGTCATACAGAATATCACATTGTACAAAAAGTCGTGATAGGCAGCGCCTAACTCAGGCGCCCCGATGCTTGTTGTGATTGAGTAAACTGAGATATGTACAACTCAGATTTGTTGAAATTGAAACCATTTAGGTAATGACTTTTGCTAGGGAGTTTAATAGTAGTGTCTTTTTTCTTCACGGCGCTTTAAAAGGGCTAGGCGCCGCCTAAGCGGTTGCAAATAGGCGGTCTAAGTGGTGATCTAGACGGTTCAGCCGCTTCCTAGGTGCTCGTATAATTTTTTAAATAATTTTTTAAAATATATAAAAAACAAATTTTAATTTTTGTACATGAAATGTACAATAATGATAAAAAGAATAATAAGATATGCCCACCGTGGACATATGAGCATTTCCCATTCTATTCGGGAAATGCTCACATGCCCACAGTGGGCACATGTTAATATGCCTACCGACTTATGTGGCATGCACACATTAACATCACCAATGTGTGCATGCCACATCAACAGTGGACATATTAACATGTGAGCATTTTCCTATTCTATGAAATATAATTTGTAAGTTAAGCATGATTCTAAATATAAATAAATTTATTAGTAATTTTATGACTAGCCCAGGCCCGACTAATCCTCCCCTAGTCGTTTTAGGCGCTAAGCCCAGCCCGCCACCTACCAAGTGCCTAGCGCCTTTTAAAACCTTGCAGAATACACAGTTAAATGAAGGGCATAACTTCCCTAATGTGAAAATAATTAATATATATATATCTACATCTATATAATTGATAACAAAACATTTAAAAAAAATTTTTTTGATTTCTTTCTAATAGACGTTACAACTTATACAATTGATATTTTCCCGCTCTTTTAAATTAATTATGAAAATTGAATATTGTTAAACTTATTTATCACACAATATTTACGGGTAATATTAATCAATTATTAATTCAGGCTAAAAGTATATGAAAATTGTACACTTAGAAAAATTATAGAAACTTTTTTTCTTATTTTTTAATTAATATCATCATTTTATTTTTATATTCTTTTTCAATTGCTATTGGTTTAATGGAATAGCAAACCTCTTAAAATTGTATGAATAATTTTAACAACAATAATAATTTAGTATTTTTCACCCAATTATTTGGTATGGATCCCTTAATTGTGTAAATGCATTATTCATTATAGTTTATGAACTAAATATGCATCATGTATATATTTAATTTAAATACAACAAATATGCATTTTTTTTTTTCCAACGACATAAACGATTTTATTAAAAGGCCAAAAGGCAAAATACAATGGCAAGCCCGGAACCCGGGAAAATGAGAGGTTACAAACACCCAATGCAACCTAGACGAATCACAACTAGCAAACGCTAGAAAGACAACCACACAACGACACTAAACAAAAACTAACCACAACAAAAATACAACTCCCAACAGGAGAATACCCGAGTATGATCCCAACAGGATAATAAAGTTACACTCGGGTAAAAACCGGGGCCAACGGCCCAAACCTAAAACACTCGAACAGACACAGAAACCAAACAACCAAAACAACAAACACGAATAACAAAACCAAACATAAACATACAACAAAGCCCTTCCCTAGTGAACCAAAACGAGCTCCGCCAGCAGTGAACGATCGACACAAGATAGATACCGAGCCCGAGCAGTCGCTACTGAAACTGCAGAACGCCTAGCAGTAGGTAAAGCCGAGCCCCGAACCAATTCCCGAATCCACCCGTCGCAAACCGAGCAAGCCACATCCAATCCCCACCCCCCATGCCGGCCCAGCCAGCCCTCATCAAACACCACTCGATGAGGTCGAAAGAGACCAGCACCACACCACCTAACACCACTAGATAGAGAGGGGGAGGTGAAAATGAACGGACCCTCAACCCCGACCACCGCAACAAACCAGCCGCAGCCACCGGAGTCCCACCCTGCCCCTTAACTCACACACCCACCAACACCACCACAGACCACCAACAACCAGAAAACCGAGCCCCTCCTGAGAGGCGGAACTCCACCTGAAACCAGAGCACATCGATCGAAGACAAAGAGTGTCGAAACGACTTACCACCACAAATTTCATATTTATAATTATAAATATGAAATTGATATATACAACTTATAATATTTTATTTGTATTTGTGCATGTGCACGGTTGATTACTCACATATATAAAGTGGAGAAACTTAGAGGAAATTTTTTTCATCCAAACTACATTAATTAACTAGAAAAAATTTTTGTCAACTTCTACGTAAGATTTATTATTAAAGAAATAGTTACAATTTTTTATTATAAATAAATTTATATAATATAATGCATTGAGAACTTGTACTCTAATTCTCATGGTCAAATAAATTTTAAAATTAATTTGTTAATTTCAATGTAGATAATTCAAATAAAATTATTATTTGTTTAAGTAAATAAATAAGTTTATACATAATTATGGATTAAGAACTTGCATTCCACTTTTCATGGCTAAAAAAAGTTGAAATATGTTTATTACATTTTAATACAACAAAAAATATTATTTAATATGAAAGATTTAATTTAAAACTAATTAATTATTTAAATTGAATTATAATTTTTACTAATTATACTCTTTTTTTTCTCTTTGTGAGTGACATCATGTTTTTGCTACAAATAAATACTTAATTTTGACACACAATGTTATTATAAACATCCATTCTAGTTTCCATT